AGTAAACATTTTAAAAGGATGCACGGATTAATCGGGGGAAATTGGCCGTATCGGCCATTTCCCCGATTAATCGGTTTCGATAATCTGCCAATTTTACATTTTGGTATTTTTGTTAGAATGTTACATACAATGCTAGTAATAAAAACTAATAAATTTCTGTTATATATTTATTATTTATTACATGACAAACTGAATATTAAAAATATTTTACAAATCAAATTATTCCTTTTATCGATACATATTATATGTATAATATAACGTATAATCTAAAGTTTAAACTTTAAATAAAAAAGAGAGTATTGAATAGGTTAAAAACATGCTATTCTTCATTCTTTCGTTCACCAGAAGCTAATTCATCAAATAAATCAGAAAAACTTAGAGTTTCACCTCCATCTTGATCACTTCCAGAAGTAAAAGCTTCAGAATTTAATTCTTGTTGAGATTTCCTCTACCATATCCTCTTTTTGAAATTTCATTTTGAATCTAATAAAAATGACAAGCATAAAGACTTGTTTTCTATATATGCTGAAAATCTTTTTTTTTATTGGATTTTCTAGTTCTTCTGTTGTGGTATTAATGCCACTAAAGGAACTACTGATCTTTGCTTTTGATAAGAATAATTTCAGTCTCTATTGTGGGAATTATTGAAGATGAAGTGGCTTCTCGTTTGCTGGCTTTCCACAGTAATTTCTTTGAATGGTTTTACAAGTAGAACAATTTTTTCAACGAGAGACCACTGATATGGGCTCAACGTAGGAATTTTATTATCTATAGCATATATGACAAGGGCCAACATGCATATTTGATGTTCCAACATGTAGTATGTAGAATTCCAGTGAGTAGGAACATCTTGAATTAATTTGTGTTTCTGCAAACCTAACTTTTCTTGCAAATCTTCCAATTCGATTAAGCTACAGCAGAATGATTAAAATGTGTGACAATATTTCTATTAACTGTGATTATAGTTTTCACATCTTGTTCAGAAAATATGTATTCGTTTAGTATCAGCTGCAGCATATGTATAAAGCATCATAATGCTTACAAGTTGCAATTCCTAATTCCAGCTACCAGATTTGCTGCAGAATCTCTTAGTACTAAGAATATCTTATCACTTGTCAACTTATACTGTTCAAGAACAACTTTTAACTGTTCACTGATTCATGTAGCTGTGTGGAACCTTCAAAGGAAACAATTTGCAAAACAGCTCTTTCCTGCTGAAAATCATCCTTCAACCAGTGGGCTGTTACACTTAAAAAAGGAGAATTGCTTGTAGTTGCTCTCCAAACATCAGCAGTTAAGGAAATATATTTTGTTTCTGATAAACACAGAAACACTTCAGCTTTTTGAACAATGTCGAAGTTTCCATGCGTCAACAATTAAGTGTTGAGATTTATTTTAGAAACAAAGGAAGAGATTGTTGATTTTGCAAGGATATTCGGTCGTCTCTTGTTTACCTGACCCGAGGGAGATGGAAATATCAGTGAGAAAAATGGGTTTTTTCCACATTATAATTAACTGTATAATTAACTCCAGGATCTCACACTATTAATGCAATAAATTATTAACACTAATTGGCCGATAATGCATGGCCGATTAATTAGTAATCGGTCATTTTGCTTATCGGTGTGTCCTTACTATACACTGTAATTTACAAGATAAATCTGTAAGTTTTTTCAAGAGATTGACTGAACAACAAACAAAAGCAGCAAATTCTTTCAAAAGTATAATGACTGTTTCTGATAAAGCTCAAATTGCTTCTTATGAAGTCTCAGAACTAATAGCAAAAAATATGAAAGCTCATACTTCAGGTGAGTCACTTATTTTGCCTGCATGCAAAAAATTGGTCGTGATAATGTTAGGAAATAAAGCAGCAATGAAAATAAACAAGATTCCTCTGTCCAACGATACAGCTCACAAGCGTATTATAGAAATGTCTTCTGATATCAAGAAAAATGTATGCAGTAATAAGCTTCAGTATTCAAATTTTGCATTGCAAGTTGATGAGTCAACAGACATTACCAACACAGTGCAACTCTTAGCATTCGTCCATTTTATTAATGAAGATCAAATAGTAAATTAGTTTCATTTTTGCAAAGAATTAAGTGTGTCTACAAAAGATGAAGATGTTTTTAACATTTTGAATAACTATCTTGATAAATGGCAGTTAACATGGAAGTCGTGTGTAGGTATTTGCCCCTTCCATGGTAGGCTGTGTTAAGGGTCTTACATCTTTTGTAAAAAAAAAAACAAAATGAGAATGTTATCATAACTCACTGCTTTCTTCATAGGGAGGCCTTGATGGCAAAAACATTGGAAGAAAAATTAAGAAAAATTTTAGATCAAGTTGTTCATATGGTAAACTTTATTAAAACAAGACCTGTCAAATCGCATTTATTCGAAAAGCTTTGTATCGATATGGATTCACAACACAGACAGCTGATTTTACACACTGAGGTGAGGTGGTTGTCAAGGGGAAAAGTACTTACTCATGTACACAAGCTACGACAAGAACTTCTTGTGTTTTTGAAGAAATGAAACAGTTACATTTTTGTAACCTCCTTCGGTGCAAATTTTGGATTGCTAGGTTAGAGTATTTGGCCGATATATTTCAGCAGCTCAATATTTTGAATACTAGCGAGGTTGCAGCCAGAGTTTTCAACATGAAAACATGAACATTGGATGTTCAGTGCCACCTTCTTGTAAGCTTAGAAGTTTGACAATGGCATTTGGAACGTCAGTAGAATCTTGCTTGACGATCCAAATGCCATTGTCAAACTTCTAGGCTTACAAAGAAGAAGAACTGGTAGCTATATCCTCTGAGCATGGATTGACAATTAAACACAAGAAATTGTCTCTTGAAGCTTATTGGATTTCTATAAAAGAAGAATATGTGGCAATATCTAAAAAAAGCTTTGAACATTTTACTACAATTTTAAATATCCTATTTATGTGAATTAGGATTTTCTACCCTAAACATTAAGGGTAAAAAGAGAGGAATTCTTCAATGTATTGATGAGGAATGAGAGTTTGCCTTTCAAATATATGCCCAAACATTGAAAAAATTGCTAAGACACATCAGGCACATGTTCCTCATAAACACAAGAATGAAAAAACTTTCGTGCCAGGACCTGCCAAATTTACTAAATCTTACTAAGAATGTATCTATATACATAAAAGATAACTTTTTTGTATATATTTTTTTATTTTTTAACCCCTCTTTTTTACGAATTCTAAAAAGCATAACTCAAAAAAATGTAACATAAAAATGTTTTTTAATGTCAGAATAAATTTAATTTTGTCGTATTTATTTTTTTTAATTACCATAAAAGCAAACTCGAACTTTATATATTTTTTTCTTTAATATTTGACTTAATTCTTATAACATATTTCTCAGAAATTTGTATATAGTGCACCTACAATTATTTGTAGGATTTTAAATACACCCCGACTTCAAAAAGTTTGAGAACCACTGATCTAGATAATAAGCTACTGTTGAATTGTTGAGAATGTACTACAAAGAAGGTTTGCTGGTATATGTCCACTCCAGTATTAATAAGTGTGAATAGAACATTTTTCTTAACCAGTTAACAAACAGTAAACATAAAATTCTTTTAATTAAATTCATCTAAACATGGCAAAAATTTTATATTTTCATATATTTGAAACATTTAAACTTGTGAGATCTCAGCAGTCACCTACATCACTATCTTGAGAAAGAAGTACACCTAGAAAATGTTACTTTACCAACAACAATGACCAAATAGACACACATACACAGGCTGTATTTCAGCATGAAATCTGACTAGTTGTTACCTAAATGATCTGAAGTCAATTATTATTTGGTAAAACTGGACTGGTCATCCAAGTAACAAGATATATCAAGGTAAAAACAAGGGAAGCAACCTGAACTTTAAGATGTGTGTATGGAGTCTGATAGAACGCTGATGAGAAGTTCGGTGAAGAAAGTTCAAAGTATAATGAGAGAAATCTATGGTCAGAAAAACAGTTTGGATCAAGAATTGAAGGATAGAAAGTGACTAGGAGCAAAGGACTGATTAACTATCCTCACCTTGGAAAATGTTGGACTACAAAGAAAATGGAATTTCATGCAGTAATATTATATCCAATTCTGAAGATGCCTATGTCAAATAAAGATCTCCCCTCTCTCTCTGCAAACCAGTAACACAGTATAAGCCAGAGAATGCTTAATAAATAAATATTTCTTATTAACCTGCTGAGCGTAATCCTTTCCATCTGGATTCAGCTATGCTTTCTCAAAGGTATATCATTAAAAGTTACATGAAGAATAGTAGACTTGCTACTGTTCATGCCAGGATCAGTTGACAACATTTATCATCTCATGAAGATAAATCTTGTCAACTGTGTCAACTGATCAATCCTGTGTCAACTAATGAACAGACACAGGAACTTCACAAACTGAATTATTATTTCCAGTAATAATATTAATATTCAGCAGGTAGTGTACAGTAGTGTGTCAATTATCCAAAATAATTGGGACAGAATAATTTTGGCTAACTGATTGCACTTAGTAGAGAAAGAATATGTAGACAAATACCTCAAATAAAGTAAAAATTTTAATTTTAATTCTAGTACAATAGTACAAAAAGATTAAGGCATAGAAATTTAATACATATGAATGATAAAAAATATAAAAAATTATCTAATTTATTAAAATACAAGTACTATGTCTTTCATTGCAATCTATGACATACTGATGAAACTTCAAATTCAAAATAAAATGTGTGATCACTGATCTAAAATTGATAAATCATTTATTATACAGCTAATATTTCTGCAAAACAAGTAGCCTGTACTTTCTGTCAGAACATAAAATGAATATAACCAAAATTTCATCTGGATTGGACAAAAATTGCAGGAGTCATAAGGAATTCACACACACACAGACAACAGTTTTTATAATAGTAACAAACTAAATTTTGAATCAATTAATTAATACAAAAAAATTAATTTTTTAATACCATTTAATCCACCAGAAGGAAGTTGGCGTTCTGAAAGCCACCATCCAAGCAGATTGGAATTAACTTGATGTAAATGACCAAGTATGGAAAGTGTACCCAAACAACAATAAATCTGAAAAAGTAGCACATTCTATAATTAAACTATCAACTTTTAATAAAATACTTATAATAATTTTATACAATAAAAAAATATTTTAAAAATGCCTTTAATTTATAAATTTAAAGACTAATTAATTCTCATACTTGTCCAGCATGAGTTTCTGATCCTGGTCGACATCCAAATCCTCCATCAAAATTCATGCATGATAAGATGAAATCTACAGTCTTTTTAACATTGATTGCTTGAACATGACCCTGTATTTAATTATTATTTATGTTTAGTCAATTTTAATATTTCAAAACTACCATAACACATTAATTTTGCTCATTTAAAATTTAAAATAAACTACACTTTACATACATATTTTAAAAATATATTTGTATACAAGCAAAATTTTTAAAAAATGTCATATGTTATAATTAATATAGAAAATTAGATGTACAATAAAAATGAATTCTATTTTAAAATATTTTTTTCTGTTTTTCAATATAATCAAAATTAAATTAAATTATAAATATTATTTTTATTATTTATAATGAAATGATAATTATTTTGATATTTTGAAAAACAAACAAGCTAAAATAAACTATTATTCTAAGATACTGCTGAAAACTTTAATAAATTATTGAAATTATAATTATTAATTTAGTTAAGAGATGGTGCCTAACATCTACCTCTAGTAGCAAATTACTTTGTATTATTTAAAAATCAGCAGAATTGCAGCCTTATCATTTAGGCAATCGTTGGATGCTTCTAAAAACACTGAAAATGAGAGTGAATTTCTTTTGTACTTTTTAAAAATCGAGAAAAAATTAAATAAACTTCTCTACGACAAGAAAAAAAAAACAAATGTTGCTTTAATAAAACAAAAACATTTTTAAATGTTGAGAACATTATTAAAAAATTTATAATTTTTATAACAAAATGAGTATTGTTAGGATCTTAGGGTGTAAAGATCTCTAATTGTGAAATTCTCATTTAATCTCTCACAAAGTACTAGTTGGTTGATTATAACAGTCCAGAGTGGACTCCGGTCACATCCTGCTTGTTCAACTGACCCAAACAAAAGACATCCCCAAATCTTGTGTCCACACATAGGTGTAACCTGATCGGACCACTGGTTGTTAGGTTTTCATATGTATAAAAACAACCAATCCAACAAGTATAATTGAAAGTTAATATTTTTTCAAAATGTTCTAAAAATTATGAAATAATTTATAGATTTTTTTACAAACAAATTTGCTAAATGATTTTATTTGTTTAGAATTAATTTATAAATAAAATTATATTCTTACCAATAATGCAAGACAAGCCACTGCACAAAATGAAAATCTTGTGTCTACTTCTCCTGTAAGGATATATTTTAGGTGAAATGTTTTAAAATATAATATAGAATAAACTATTATTACTATATCACATTTTTCATATTTCAATTTGAAATTATGCAGAATATGAAAAAATGTAGTAAATGTGGTATAAATATTCCAAATTAGTAAAAAATATAAATTTTATATTTATTTTTATTAAAAATACAATAGATTCTTTAATAGTTGATGTGTATTAAACAACATAAAACACTGAAAATCTAACAAAATTATTATTATAATTATTAAACTATAGCATATACAGTTGTTTTTCTTCTCAACATTTTTTCTGGTAATTATAGATAAATAAATTAATTAATTAAATAATAATTAATCAATTTTATTCAGTTTTATTTTATCTCTCAAAAGTAAGTAAAACCAATGCTTCGAGTATATTATATCAATAATTATACAGCACAACATTCAGTATCACCACTATCACTAGAATATAAGATTGAAGAACTTTCATAAGAAGTGTGTTGAAAAAGCATCTAGAAATAGATTTCGCCACCAGGACGGCACTGCCAACAATTCAGGCCATGTTGGTTATTGCTATAGCAGATTTTTTAATGTAGAAATTGTTTGGTTTTGATGTAATAATGCCTTCTAAGTGCTGTGTTCCAGGGTAAAAGTGGCTATGCCTCTTGTAAAGAAAAATGTTTTCATGCTATGTTTTCATTTCCAAGAGATCTGGAAAAACAAAATGCATGGAGAAGGAAATATACCAAGAGACTTTGAAATCACCAAGAAATCCTTTGTTTGTGAGTTGTATTTTGATAGTTGTTACATTATAAAGACATAAGATCTAATTATTGAGGGAGGAACATACATAGAAGTATTTACAACCAACACTAAAGATGCAATTTCTACTATTTTTCCCAGGAGCAGAAGGAACAAGAGAAAAAATCATAGGACCTTATCCATAAGCCATGGAAGAGTCCTGCATCCTTCCAAAAAAGCTATTGCATTTACTACTGCTGTGTGAAAAACATTTCAAACTCATTTCTATTTCTTATGTAGAAGATAAGAAATTTGTTGTTGTTATTGATGATATTGTAACAGATACCAACTTGATCTTAATCACTTTAGGATGTAAAGATCATTAATAGGAATTGCAATCCAGCAGTGTTTTCAATCTAGCTGGATTTTTGCTGGACCAACATCATTCCAGCTGGATCCAGTATGGATATATTTTTGGTGCAATAAAGTGTTATCTATCTATCTATCCAACAATTTATGGGTTTTTTTTTTAAAGAAATAAAACATTTTTTTAAATACTTAAGAAACTTTTATTATTTAGACTGGTTACTATAAATCAGTAAAACTTCTTACACATTTAGGTAGTAAACTTAACTTTGGTTTGGTTTAACATTTGAGATAGAGATAATTAACTTTAAATGTTTATTTATTGATTTAGTGAACGTCTCTTCAATCTGAAAAAATCTTTCTGGTACACTACCTCACAGCCAATTCAGGTTATAAACTCCTTTTATTGTTTTTTACAGATGCATTTGAGTAATTTTATAAGATGGTAAAAGTATTCTAAACAGGACTAAAAGTACCATATAAGTGTGAAAATTAGATCATATGAAACTCATGAAAACTCTTAAGCAATGAGGAGGAGCTAGTAAATTAACCTAGCTCAAAATGCATCTGTAAAAAACAATAAAAGGAGTTTATAACCTGAATTGGCTGTGAGGTAGTCTATCGGAAAGATTTTTTTTGGATTGAAGAGACGTTCACTAAATCAACATATAAAACAGCTAAACCATCGGAAAATTTAAATGTTTAGTTAGATTATAATTATAATGTAATCTTTAAGTTAAATAATAGCAAAGGTAATTCTTCATTTGTTGTGAAACCATGTTGTACTAGATTTTCTTTAGAAGTGTTGAACATGAGATCGTGTTATTAACCAATCACATGGCTTCTTTTCCATCTTTATTAAGCCATGTGATTGGTTAATAACACAATCTTGTGTTCAACACTTCTAAAGAAAGGTAATTCTACTAATTAATTTATATTAATATATTATATTATAATAATGTAAAGATGGATAATCAGTGGCTAAGTGGCTATCAGTCTTATCAGTTTTCTCATGTAGGCTCTACATATAAGTCTGTAATTATTTATATGTAATTTAATTATTAGTGTTAATAAAGTAGTGAGTAAATAATTAGTAATAGGCCTAGTCTAGTAGTTAGTTATTATTATCACAATCATGAATCACTTACATTCATATAATCATGTATCTAAGATACTGATACTAATTAATTTAAGTAACTATTTAACTAACTAGGTAGTCTCAGTTTCTCACAAATTTTCACAATAAAATTGCCTAGCCTAGCCCACTAACCACTTATAGAATAAAAGTTAAAAACTCTTACTTAATAGAATTAGAGTAGAAGTTATAAAATATTAGTCTCGTCTTGAATAAAGTATTTTAAAGGATTAAATAAAATTAAATCAATCACTTCTGTTATTTTTTTGACTTTTCTGGAAGTAGGATCTCAAGAAACAAATGGTATTGATGGTGTTGTCTCCCAATCTACTTTTTAATGAATTGCATATATATCACGCTGCAGAGAAGGCCCTTTCTGCCTCTACACTAGTTGGTTTCAGGGTCATCAAAATAATCATAACTCAAAGATAAGTTTTCACCTCTGACTCCCTCACTTCCAGGAGCGTATTCTGTTGTCAAGTCTAGACCTCATGGTGGAGAGAGAAGTGGGCCGTGATGTTGTTTTTTTGAGTCAATGAAAGCTGCAGTCACAGTGTTGGTGGTTTTCAATCCATCAGTGGCAACAATGGTGTTTATAATTTGATGGGCTTCCCATTCCTTAATTAAAGGCATAGTACTAGCTGACCATGAGCAATAGCGAGCGTGTCGGCATCAATATCTGCTAGACTGCCTGTTAAACATGTGATAGGCTTAGCGAAGAGAGCGATGCAACTCCCGATTATTGCGCAATTGCCAGAAAAAGTATGAAAACTTTCTTATTTTTCGTCTCCAGTAAAATATCAATTGAGCTGAAATAAAAGGTTATCTATTAGCTAGTGATGGTCATCTCCTGAAGAGATAGGTTAGGTTTTGTGGATAAGCCACGAGGCTGCAGCTCCCCATAGGCTTAAACTGCAATCATTCCGTCATGTGATTCATTGGCTTCACAACCGACCATAAATTAGAATTAAGTACCAGGACTGGAGTGAAGTTACTTATTTTATTTAGCATGAAAATACTTTATTTAGTAAGAGTGAAAAGTCAACTGGCAATATGATCAACAGAGATAAAAGGGCGGGCAGTGCGGTGTAGAGAGGGGGGTGTAGCATGTGCCACACAGAATGGCAACGTCACTCTTGCTGCCGAGTGATAGCGCATGTAGCAAAGCCACAACGCCGACAATGTAGACTTTCGCACCATTATTTAGAAAGTTAATTAAATATATGCAGATCCACAGTACTGGATCCAGCAGGCCGAAGAATGTGTTGGATCCAGCTGCATTGCTGGATGAGGGATCCAGCAAGTGCAATCCCTAATCATTAGATACAATTAGTTCCACACATAGTTCAGTTTTATGTAACCACGAAAATCCATTTTTTCACAAGAGAAGTTAATAGAGAGGTTGCGGCCGACGTTTTCAACGTAAAAACGTATATGTCAAACATTTAGTGCCACCTTCCTGTAAGCCTAGAAGTTTGACAATGGTGTTTGGAATGTTGAGCATGATTCCACTGACATTCCAAACACCATGTCAAACTTCTAGGCTTATAGGAAGGCAGTGCTGAACATCCAGCATACATGTTTGCGTGTTGAAAACGTCAGGCACAACCTCGCTAATAAGTCCATTTGTAATACTGTGGCCAATAAAAATGCTAAGAAAGTATCTAAACTGTAAATAACTAATAGAATAAACTTTTATCTACTGAGGAACTTTTAATTTTTGTTAATGTTTTCAACTTATTTCACAAATCATCATCAGATGAATCAATATTTGAATATCAAAGAAAATTAAAAATATGAAGGCTTACAGTATGGAATAACTTACAACATAATTATGTTACCATACAAATAAAATAAAAAAAATTACTGAATAAAAAAATAAAAGTGTGATATTTTGTATTAATAAGTAATAATATAATTGGATTTTGTTTAAAACTTTACCTGTAACATAAAATAATGGTGCTTAAATCAGTTTTATTATCCAATGAAAATACATTTAATTCGTATACATCAGTATAAATTATATACGCACGATATAGTATATACTGTGTACAGTTTAATGCTATATTGTGCATTGTGTCACATACTCTGGATGAAAATAGGCACAGTTGCTGATAGTACCACCCTGGTGACAGACTTTCAGTGGTGTGCCGCGACATTTGATGATAGGGAAGCTGTGTTTCTATAAGAAGCCTCCGGCAATCAGGGGCAATCAGTTAATTCTTTCTTTAAATGTATTTTTAATAAATTATTTATCTGACGTACTTAATAAATAAACAAGTTCAATATAATTACCTCTGTTATATTAGATTTAATAGATTCCCTATGCCCTCTAAATGCCAATTCTTGCTTCGATAACATCTACTAATTTAAGTATAATACTGTATATCTATTAGCTATAACTTTGTTATAATTTTCAATATTTATTTTATATCGTTTACTAATGTTAAATTCTATTCCGCTTCGATTTCCAAATTGCTTCAAATATGAAAGAATCGCCAATTTTTCGTGTCTTTTGCCAGCTAAATTGTCAAAGCCATTCTTATTCCATACACTAATTTCATTTGAAAATAGTAGGTAAGCCAACAAAATAATTTTTGCATTTTTATGCATTTACAGAGCCATTTTATCGTGAAAATGTCGAACAAATATGTTTATTGAAGTGTTTATATTTAACTTAGGCATTGGCCTTTCTCTTTTAATAATGTTTTCTTTTTCATTATATGATCTCGAGCCAAAACTTTTTTAAAATAAATTTTCAATATCGCAATTACATTCCGAATCGCTAGCCACGATATAAGGGCTAAAATTAAAAATAAAATTATAAAAACTTACTTGGTGAAATAAAATGTGTGGTGGATATACATACCTGGTACAAAACATTCTTCAATTGTATGAATATACTTTTAAAGAAAATTATAATTAAATATAGCTTTGTAATGAAACGTACATAAAAATAACATAAAATATTCTTTACTCTTTAAATCTTAACCACTTAGTCAAATAGCTCCCTACGAGTGGAATCAGAGACGGTCCTGCTAGGTGTGCGGTGTGTACATGCACGCGGGCTGCCAAATCCCGAGGGTGCCGATACCGGTCAATGTCAAATGCCTCTTTTGTCGCATCACTAGTATATCTCAAAGGACGCGACAGGGTTGTTGTAAATTTTAAACGTTTCTCACCATAGCTGTAAAAATCTAAATATGTTAAACTTAATAGATTGTCTGTCGTTTGTTTTCTAACTAATTCGTTTTAGGACCAGGTGTTATCCACGGAAATTTCCAAAATTTACAACTTTTCGGTCACTCTCGTTGAACTGGTAAAATGTCTGTCTTTATTACATCTAATATTTCGAAGAAATCAGTCCCACTGTACTCGGCTAGAGATTGGTTCGGTTAGGCTTTTGTTTAAGTAAAGTAAAATTTCGGCTCTTTCATCAGGGTTTTATTTATGTCCCCAATTCCCTAATCGCTTAATTATTTAACTACTTAAGTAGAAATAAGTTGAAACCAGTTACTTTGTACTCGAATATTTGTAGTCTCGGGAAAAAGTGGAAAGACAAATTTTTATGACAAACAGACACATAAATCGTAAATTTAAGGAAAATAAATTCTAGAGCTTTTTCTGTACCTCGTGCATCTCTCTCATTCATTAAATTTAGCTGTAAATTATGCTACCAAAGTAACAGTTAATTTTTTAACATTATACAAGAGTTGTACACGTTTTTTTCTACATCCCCTTAAAGATGGGACATACGAAATCGTAATATCACTAATTTAACATTGAAATCCGTGAGTAATATAAAATCAGAGAGCGGAATAAATATATCAAATATTTTAACGGATTTTTTTAAACACCTGTCAACTATACAGAAAACTATCATAAAAACATACCAGTAAATTCTTATTGATTGGATTAAGTTAGAAATCTACTCGCGATTCACGTAATCAGGCGAGGGCGGCCAAATAGCTAGCAGGCGAGCAGCTAACAGCCCAGAACCGGTCCTGAATAGAATTGGATGCGTTATACATGTAGTATCCACCCAAGGTCCTAGGCGTCCACCAGATAAACCGGGTGAGGTTGGTGCTCTGTAAAGCGCATGCGCAAATCTGGCTTTTTTGGATGCTGACGATACAGCATTTCCACTCCGCCACTAATATTCTAATATACAATAGCAATCTTATCTTTTTTTCACGTGTAGTATAGAAATTTGTAATAAGATACATAATGCGGTTATAATAAAATATTGTGCGATAATTTTCATATAATTAAAGTTAATATGTATTTATTTTTTATAAAATACAAGGGAAGTGGCCCATCCACCACTTCTAATGACGGCACGCCACTGCAGAGTTTGTCTCTAGACAGTTTTTGGAAGAGACTTCTCCAACCTTATATTCTAGTAATCATGGCATCATAATTTATTAAAATGCAATATTATAGAAATAAAGTTTCTAAATTATGGAAAATGACTCAACAGAATACTTATTTGTATTATTTTCTATTTATAAAAACGTTATTAAATGTGATTAAAATATTTTAGTTTATGTTAGAATACTAAATAAATTCTGGGAAATTGCTAAATCTTAATTATTATAACTTCCAATTTCGTAAAGAATGGAATGTCTGCTAAATTACCAGATTAAAAATCGACATTACTGTATAAAAATAATTTGAATATAAATTTGCATATCTATAATGTATTTCAATATAGTGTATCGTTAATTATAAAATCCTGATAAGAAAATATAAATACTAATTTCAAATGTTAAAGTAACATTTTTTTAAGTTATAGTTTTACTATTAAAATGGACATCTGATAGAGATTCTTAACAATAATGTCTTTTCATTCACTTTAAATAATTATAATTGCATAAAAATTATTTATAAATAAATAAATGAAATTAATAATAAAAAAAACTTACCCCATTTATCTCCCATAAAGCTTCCATCTTCTTTTTGTAGGCTCTTCACATAATTAACAACATTACCAACATTAATAATATCCACTGAGTCATATATTGTAAGAATCTATAAAATAAATGTTAGAATCAATATTTTTATTTATTTTTGAATTAATTATTTTTGGATTTCAATATTTTTTCCAGTGTGGAAGGTTTCCATTTTGAATAAATCTTTTTAACAGAAAAAAATTTGTTCCATTCTGAAGAATTTTTTCCATTAAGGTACATGTTATTACAGCAGGTTTCTTTAAAAATATTTATTTATTCAATTTTATTAATTTGTTCTATATTCCAACCATGTGCATTATGTAATTTGGAAAGTCCGTTAAAAGCTGTCAATTCAAAAACAAAGGTATTCAATTTCGCCTGAAGACGACGGTTGTAAACTGTTGAAAGTACTAGCGAGCACGTCTGAAATTTAACAAATCTCTGTCAATAACGCCGCAACATGGAAGTGTCATATTTTTAACATTTTACCGCATATACATTTTATCAATATTTCCAAAAACATCCACAAAATCATATGCCTCATAAGCATGCAAAATTTTGTAAGTTTCTGTCACCTACTCAACCATGACCTATTTTGAATCACACAGCTGACCATCACCCAATTATCATGCATCAGTTCAAGATATGCTAGACCCCATCCCTTATAACATGGTTGCCCAACTGCAGGCTTGGACAAACCCACAATGTACTCAAGAAAGGCCCTCTTAATGCCCATAGAGCAGAAAGTTTTAAAAAAATATGGAAAAAGAGAAAGAAATAAAAAAATAGGAATAAGAATAAAAACCTACACTCATGAAAGGAAAGATGTACAGTAGAGTATCGTTTATCTGAATCAATTGGAGACTGGGGTTGTTCAGATAACCGATTATGTATGAAAAAATATATTAACCTATCCTAAGTTGAAATTTTTCTCTGTTGCGTGTTGCTTAGCATTGAATTTTTGTCGATGTTAAGTCTAACATAAACTTTTTAAAATAATAATCGTGGCTATTGTATCGTTAAAAATTATTTCTTTATTTTTTACAAACAAAATAAATATATTAAAAATATAAAAACAAAAAAAAAATACTTTAGGAGTTAATCTAGTATTAAAAACGTTCGATTCAGCACGACACACAGTCCTCAGAAAAACACCACACAAAAGTGCCAGTGCTGCCAGCTAAAACACATACACAAACATAAAAAATATTGGAGTAGCCGAAGACATAGCCAAAGATTGCAGCGCCACAGCACTAGTGAAAATTTAAATTTGCCAACTGAAATTCTTTCGGATAACTGACGTGTCAGATAATCAACTTTCAGATAAATGACGCTCTACTGTAATTATCTAAAACTGCATTATAAAAGCATAATCTAATTTTAAATAATATAAAGGAAGTAATAAATCGAGAGTCATTTTTCAAACATATGTTTTCCATCTACAATTGAATAAATTTATGATTTAAGATCAAAACATTTATGTATATATATTTAAAATTAATAAATCTTACATCACTTTATTAATATATTTTAAAATAAACAGAAGACTTTTTCAATTTTAATATATTGTTAAGATGTAATCATTACTATGATTTTGTTAAATTACATTTTTGAGTAATAGTAATACTTGATCATGTTATTGAATGCCTATTCCAAAAGGCACAGCGATAACAAATGCTGTGGTTAGTTTCAATTTTATCCAAAAAAAGCAAACCTGGCTTAAAATACATCAGCCATTATGGACGAAAGACAGTAAACATACCTTAAATTATCTACAAAAATTAAATTTGAAACTGGGTCTCTCACAATGAAATTAAAAGCAAATAAGTATTTACTTGTAATTTCATTATTTGCTGTAAATATGAAATATCCTTGTCTTATCCAACAGTCACCTTTGCAGCTCATGTCTTCCCCCTTCCAAACCTTCAACTACCCCACCTTTCCAACTTTTTCTCAAATCACTCTCCGTCCTTCCTTTACCCATCATTATCTTTTAACGCTACACCTTTGAGTACAGCCTTTCTTTTGCATGTGTGTAAATATAGAATAAGAAATAATTTGTAAAATAAATAAATTTAAAACTGGATAAGTAAAAATTTGAGGAAAATATATAGCTTTATCAAGCAAACTACTTTTAGTTAAAACATTTTCTATCTATTTAACATAAAGATGACCTATTAAACAGGTCAAAAATGTTTGTTTAATTAAATACTTTTGTAGGCTAATTTATAAAATTCATCATAATGTTTTCCTCATTCATGATCTGTTTAAATAATTTAAATAACTTCCAATAATTATTTATTTTATAAAATTATTATTTCATTTATTTATAAAACAATTATTTTACTAATTTGGAATTTTTCAGATAATATATTCAATTTTCTTCAAAACACAATTAGATACATAAAATTTAATTACCTGAATTGCACTTAATGTATATAGTAAGTGAGGATCATGACCTACACTTGCACCAAATCCACCACATTCATGCTGGCATTGTTGTATAAAATCTAGAATTTCTTGTTTACTGAGAACATCTAATTTCTCCATTAAATCCATTGCTGTAAGTCCCCAGTAAAGACCACTCATTCTCAGATATTCTGTCATGCAATACTCCTAGAAAAAAGTAATCATAAATTTGTTATATAAGTAATAGTTTTAGTTAATAATATATTTATAAGTAACATGTAGAGGATCCATATAACTTGATTGGATTTACATATTCAGAGCCTTAAACAGAAGGAATAAAATGGACTCCCTCTGATTCAAACCCGTTGTGTAGAGTATAAACACACCCAAACAACCTTAAAACACAGCAAAAACTACTAACTAAAATGTTTTTGATTATTTTTTTTATGGACTCCCTCCTTATTCAGAGATAGCTCCAGAAAACTTAAAAATATTGCCCCATTTTTCCAGTTTTAATTTTTTTTGCCACTTCAAATTATTTATTATTACCAGTTTTACTTACTAATTAATGCAAGTGCTGGTAGCCTTATCAGTTTCGCATCTGGAAAGCAAAAATAACATGTTAAGCTGTCACTTACAAGAAGAGGTCCAGACATTCGGGTCTCCAATTCAAACAAAACACAGTAGCATATAGTCTTAAACACAAACAGCTCTTTGTCCAAATAGAATCCACTTTTCAGGCATTTTCAAAAATTGGTTTCTAAAAATTTAGTATTTAGCTTATAAGTCTTTGGAAGTTCCATCTCCCAGAGCGGCAATAGTCAAGTGAATAAGACACTAGGCATTAGAGCTAGGGATGATGTAGATTCAAACTTTTGACATTTTAGTTTAGTTTTTTTTTAATGTGTAACATTATTATTTTTTTATTTGACCACATCATTAGCATTATTATTAGGTTACAATTTGAAAAAAATTGTAGACATAAATTTCCACTATCTTCCATCTGTTTTTCTTTCCTTAATATCAAGAACAAAGTTAGATAGATGAAAGAAAGGACCAGATATGAAAACCTTAAGGCTGTTATACACGTTATGGAAATCCTTTGAGGATTAACCGTGATTTTTTTTTCTATCTATCCACCTTTAAATAAAAATAATTCTTTATACGTTGGAAATATTTTAATAAGTTTTGTAAATTACTATGTTCGATCCAGCCAGTTATATTCAATTTTTTTCGTCTGTTAAGTACATCCTTTGTGGATTTCCATAACATGTATAACAGCCTTTAGGGGCAGGAGGCCCCAATTAAATCTGCTTGTTTTTACTAAACAGGAAATAATGTCACAATTTTTAATCTTTTGTTTTATAACCTTTAAATGTGAGGAATAATAATTGTAATAATAATGTTAATGATGTGGTAAAATAATAAAGTTACACACAAAAACTAAACTGAACTAAAATTTTAAGGTTCGAACCTACATCATCTAGGTCCGGTACCTAGTGTCTTATTCACTCAGCTATTGCTGCTCTGGGACGTCAAACTTCCAAAGACTTATAAGCTAAATACTAAATTTTCAGAGGCCCATTTTTTGGAAACACTTTTGAACAAGGAGCTGCTTGTTCAAAAGTACTCACCAAGTTTTGTTTGATTCAGAGTCCCAAACATCTTGCCCTCCCCTTGTTAGCAATAGGAATCATTTAAAGGAATAACACCTAAATACAATTTCCATTTTTCATCCATTTTTATAGATTTTATAATAAATGCAATAAATATAAAAATATATCTGAAAAACAAAAGCTTAAAAATTCAATAAAGACAATTATAAAAATTATAAAACATTTGTAAATTTTAACAATGAAATTGGTTATTTGACAAGTTAAAAGGTGATATTTAAAAAAAGTCAGTAGAAGTTTTCTTAGGTAGTCCCAATGGCAGCACGTCTAGAATCTCGACAACATGCATGTTTTGAAAGTTAATCTAGGTGTCCTTGTCTTTAGTTTACAAGATTTCTAGTGTCATTTCAGTACTAGAATAATTTCCTAACATTTTATAATTTTTTTAAAGTTATTTAATTATTAAGGTTCAAAAAGTTATATATTGTTGTGTGAAGCATTTTTTCGAATTTTATATTTGATATTTTGTTGTTTATTGTTGTAATGGCAGAGTTTGGAAAACACCAACAATTTTCTTGGCAAAAGTGTACTTCAAAGAATTTTTTTCATTTTTAGTATCATAATTTCTCAAATTTAATTTTGACAAGAGAATTTCATCAGTTGGTATGTTTGCCATAAAGTTTGGTATGCAACCTGCAGATGCAGAATACATCTGCATGTTTGAAATGTGATGTCATTGTAAATTAAATTATCGAAAATATCGTGATTCTGTTTCTTTTATATGTCATAAATGCAAGATGAACAGTTTGTCATTTGAAGTAATTTTTAAACATAAATTTGGGAAAATTTCTTGGAGAACTACTTTTTCATTTATTTGGCATCTAATTTGCATAGAACGTATAGTACATTGAGCGCCACCTGTTTAGTTGTGGGCATGAGTAGTCAAACAGCTGTTGACTGGGCAAATTTCATATGACACATTATGACTGTTTCATAGTCTAATTTTACCAGAATGAAAATTGGATGGACCTGGAAAGTTTGTCGAAATTGTTGTGAGCAAAAGAAAAAACTAGGAGAATGGTTTGACCTGTTTGTTCAGCAAATGAGTAAATTTTATCCAGGAACAGGATGTGTTTTAGTTTGGAAAGAGCCAGAGAATGTACCTTCAGTTCTAAAAGTAAGTACCAATAAATCCAAAAATCATAAGAGGAAGAACGTAGACCTATGTGTTAAGAACGTGGAAAAAGTTTCTATGATAGAAAAGGATGAAGTTATGAAAAAATCAACCAAACCATGCTTTTTACCAAATAAATCGAAAAAAACAAATTAGAAATACGTCAAAGGTGAGTGTAAGATTTTTTTTCTTTAAATGCAGGTGTAGTAAGTAGCTGTGCCGGTTGCCATCTTGTTTGTGGATGTCAGGTTCACAAACAAGATGGCAACCAGAAGTGCCGCCATAGTTTACCTAAGTAAACTTTTACCAAAAAATCAAAGTTAAAAAACTTAAAATCTTCTCAAAACAACGAGAAATTATTCCTGTCTGTCTTTACTGATTTGCAAGAATTATTTAAAACTAATTTTCTTAAAAATGGGACTATACATCAACCACAACTGTCTTCTAAAAGGAACCTGCTTTATTAGTTTAATTTTATCACAAGTGAAGAGGCCCTGACTATAACAGGGCCTCTTCAGTGGGTATAACATCACAATACATAGCAATGTTTGCTTCACAAAACATCATAATTTTGATCATAATTGATTTTATATTTGGTTCTTTTTTTTTAAATACTCTTTCTGCCCTGTGGGCACTAGGAAGGCCTCTTATAGCAGACCCATTATGGGTTTGGCCAGGCCCACAATGGTGCGAACGGGTGGTGAGGGACAGGGCTTGACATATTCAAATGGACTATCCCCAAAAAATTCCCTGGGATTCCTTGACCTGTCCAGATTTGATCCTGGGTCCCCCAGAGTGGTGGGCTAAGAATCTTGACCACTCGGCCATCCGGCCTATTTATATTTGGTTCAATATGCCATTATACTTTTCTCAATCAGCTTCTTTATATTTATTCTAATTAGAACATATTCATTACATTCATTTAAAATCATTATTTGAAGTATAAAACTTCAGAATGCAATTTTTAAAGATAATTATGCTTACTATATGGCATATGGACTCAAAGATTTTCCATCCCTAAATTACCTGATTAAATTTTTAACATCTAATAAAAACTTCTAATCAGAACTAGTTTCATAATTTATGGGGTCCATTGTAAAATATAAATGTGGGATATTTTCCCAATGCTAAAGACTAAGTATTAACCAAGTGCAAGAGCCCAAGTAACCCATGACAACTCTGCCCTCAATGAAAATTGCATATTGTTTGCATCGATATTACAGATGCACATTTTCCATTCACTTAGAAATTTATCCCATAAGTTACATAGAAACATTTTATTATTATAGTTATATTTTTATTTTATATTTTTTCATTTGTATTCTGATGATGGCTGCTAGAACAGTCAAAAACATTTGAGAAAACAAAGAATATTGCTGGCAAAGTCTTATTTAGTGAGTTTTCGTGAAAATTCTTTCTACCAAGCAGACAGTAATTGAATAATAAATATCAACTATAGTCAATATTCATTATTCTTTATTAAAGTCATTGAGTAACAAATAACGAGTATTAAGTGTAAAAATATATTAATCCTTGGTGCATTATGATTCTGCACACTGCAGTATATCATTATGCTGTTTATATGTTACACAATAAGGTTTAATACTTACATAATCATCTTTTTTGTTACTATAAGATGCTATATAATTGTGATGTTTTTCTAATAGTAGATCTGAGGGAAAATTATCTGTCAGTGTAACATCCTTAATAAGTACAGCCTGAAAAACATATTTAAATTAAAAATTATATAGATTACGATTTTCTTAAATTTATTCTAAACATTTCAAAAAATAATTAAACCAACCATGTTACTATTTAATAAGTTTCCTAAATTTTGTGTTTATTTATAAACGCATAAATTCATAGAACAAGTAAACATTCATAAGAAAACACGTAAACCATGCCGAAAATTGATAAGTATTTTGACACCGAATGGCGCTTTTCACATATCATGTTAAAAATATATATATTTTTTTATTTAAGATAATTAAATTTTATACTTAAATTAATTTTATAGTAAAAAATTTAAATTTAAAAAAATTTAATTTTCTTAAATTACGTTTAGATGATTTTTGTAATTAGATTATTTTTAGGTTGCCAGATTGGATTTCTCTCCGAACTTGATTTCGCTGTAATCGAAGTGGTCCATCAAGATCCACCAAGAAAATTATTTTGTGTTTTGAGGAAACTGGAATCTTTTGCTTTAAAACTAGGACAGGATCGCAAACCGATTGAACGTCTATGCAAGATTTTTCACAGAACTTTCCACACTGTCATACAGAGCGTGTTTAATTGCCATAATATTGCACGCGCATTACTGCTGCTATGAGCATTTTCCAATCCGTTCTCCACTACTGCAATAGCAACGTCTTTCGTTTTTAGACGATCAATCGGTTTGCGATCCCGTCCTAGTTTTAAAGAAAAAAGTTCCAGTTTCCACAAACTTTCTACACTGTCAAGCAAGACCCGCATACAAGATTTTCCATACAATATTCCAGTCAAAAATTGCTTTCTGATGATAATGATAAGCGGAAAACATTTACCGTGGCATTCGTAGCTCGGATGATGGTTGATGATGCATGGCTCTGGTAAATTCCGTGGAAAAATAAGACTCATTTTCATTTGAATGGTATAGTAAATATTTACAGCTATTGTATTGATACTGTATTTGGTCTGACGAAAATTCATATATTCGTCAAATTCCATGCATTCACCAAAGATAACGACGCGGTATTAATTAAAGGATTTCAGTGTCCCTTATCATTGATTCTTATTTTTAAAGAAAACTCCGTATTTAGGCCAGTAATATGCAGTAAATATGAACTTCATCATTCCAGTACCGCAGCTGCGAAATTACTTAAACAGCAAAATATGCAAGATGATTCTCCCCACATAGCTTAATCTTGAAAGTCTTGCTACGACAATATTTTTCGCACGAGTTGTAACTGGTCATTTGCATTGTCATGGCCACTACGATCGCCAGATCTGAGTCCCTATGACTTTTGGTTATGGGCTGCTTAATTAAAGAACTTCGTCAAAACAATTCCAACCTAACAGTGTTAGAAGACAGATTTCACAACATCTACGAGAATTTCAGGCAAGTTAGTTGCGTTTTGCCATAGAATGTGTTGTGTAACAAATTCAATTTTTAGAGAGGAAGATGAAGGACACATAAGACCACAAACTTGCCAAAAACAGACAACGAAAGTACACAGAAGAATTTTACAGAGAAATTACCGGTTTGTGTTTAACGTAATATTAAGATCGTTCTGATGACAGATAAAGAGCTTTTGTAGACAAAAATTTTACAAAGAGTATACATTGCAGATAAATGAAGTTATTGATGTTTTAGGACTTCTGTACTACTAGTACAGTATTTGTTTGATTTAGACTTAATAATAGTATTGAAGACTTTGTGTAAATTTCTGTAAACAATAGTACAGGAGTGAAAAACATTTTTAATTGCATCGACAATTTTATCACAGTTTTGTATATGGAAAAAACTTCATTTGAAAACTTTTTCAGACAAATATGCTTCTCCTCTCTCTTTGCACTAAGGGGCATAGAGAGAGGAGTTGTTTAACTTTTCGGGTAATATTTGGTGGCGCCATCTGTTATCATGTTTTATTATTAAAAACTTTTTATATTTAACTATTATAAAATGACAAAAGGCTTAATTTTAAAGGGTTTTATAAAAAAAATTGTAAATGCTAATAACGAGTAAAATAGTCATTAAGTCTGATCCTATTGGAGATACACACGAACCCTTTTATCTCTCAACTCCTTCGACCTTTAATCACCAAAATTTAATATCATCAATCCACCTAATGCACAAACCTCCCTGAAAAATTTCAAAAATTTCCGACAAAAATCACAGGAATTATTAAGCTTCAAAGAGGGTGAACAAAATCGTACCCCCACACACTAACATCCATACATACAGAATTGCCCCCTCCTGAATTTTGTTGCATTTCAAGGTTTCAAGGTGCCCTGAGTCCAAAATGTAAAAATCTTGAAGGGGTCAATTTTGTGGGCCTCTTAGCACCCACAGAGCGAAAAGAGTTAAAAAGAAAATTGGGAAATTTGTGGATTACAACTTCTGCCGAAACATCATCGATATTTTAATGATTTTTTTAAATTGTAGTATTTACATTTTTATAAAATAAACTGCATAGGTTAAATTACAAAAACACAAACCTATACTAATGTTATAAAGAGGTAATGTTTGTAAGTATGTAAGTAAGTTTGTATGTAGTCGGTAATCTCCGAAACTACTCATCCGATTTCAAAAATTCTTTCATCAATATTTAGAATGGAACTTCAGGGTGGACATAGGCTAAACATTCATATAAATTAAAAGATATAATCTAGGTTAAGGCTTTTATGTCCAACAGATGGCGCTACGAGTACGACGCCCTAAGTTTGCTTTTCTGTGAGGCATTATGCTTTTTTGTGAAAATGAACTAAAGCAGATCATCATGTAGCTATTTATATAAATAAAAATGTAATGTTCGTTTGTTCCTACTGATTCCTTTAAAATTTTGACACAACGCTGCATTCGAATACGCACGTGTTTTTATATAATAAACATGTCGAAATTCCCCCCACTGAAGGGAGATGGTTAGGATTAAGGCTTATGGTAAAGAACTCTGCTTCTATCTATACTATTTTAGATGCGTTTTTTTTTTTTTTCGTTTTTGATTGCGTTTTAATAGGGTACGTCAACAGAATGTACACTAAGAAGAAATTTTTCGATATTCCCCCCGCGGGGGAGAGAGACAGGATTAAGGCTTACCGTGAAGAACTTGGCTTCTATTATACTATTTTAGATGCGTGTTTTTGCGTTTTTGATTGCGTTTTAATAGGGTACGTCAACAGAATGTACACTAAGAAAAAATTTTCCCCCATTGGGGAAGTGTTATACATTTATAATAGATACATTTTGAGCCACAACAACGCGTGGCGGGGTCTGCTAGTTAAAGTATACCTTTAATATCGTAATATTTGCTTTTTTATTATTCATGCCTCGTAATATTCAATTACTGTATTTAATTATATAATTACGGATCTTGAACCTATGTGAAAAATTATTAATTATTTTAATAATATTTAATTGTAATAAATTATTACATGGTAATTATGACAATATATTTATAAATGAATGCATGATATTACGGTAATTTTAATAATTATTTACTTGTTATATTCGTGATGGACTCATAACCAATTTTTTAAAATTATCATATAGATCTGCCTGCAAGATATTACTTTACTTGTCGAAAATAATAATCAATTCAATTTATTATCATATTATTTTTTAAATGTCATTTCTTAGTTTTTTCTTCTATATATTAGATCGATATAAAACACGTTTGACTATGAGATAAATGTGAAAGTTTATTGGTAAGCTATTTATATACATATTTTTAAAAGTACGTTATAATATTATATTCAGATAGCTACATAATTTTTGTTTAATGTACTAAAGGGATGCGCCATTCCTGTAAATATATATATATTCCCATGACGGAAGAACGTTCGTGACGATTTTAAGCTAAGTATATTTAACTTATGGAATTTATAACATACAATTAAGTTAATTATTTTAATTACTTAAGAAAATCTTTGTAAGGTAATAGTTGAAAACAGAGACTTTTAATTCTTTAATACTAAATATCCTAATTTATAACTGGCTTTTAAGTTCTCGCCATAAAATTATTGCATTTGTTTATTAGAAGTTCAGTGACTAAAGATTAATTGTCACCTTTCGACATATTTATGCCTTGATCTGGTTTCATATGATGTGAGAGATCTTTGGCATTGAATACCGGTCCTTTCATTACTTTTTTTGTGACTTAGATATAGTTTGCATGCAAATAATATTGTTTTAGTAAATAGACTAAATAATAAAACGTTTAGATAATCTTCTTAGTATATTTGTAGTTATAAAATAAAACAAATGCAAATAAAAAGAAATAAAATACTCGTCTGTAAGCAAAGAAAACTTAAGAACTGCAGCAATGAATATATAATCGGCTCTCTGCATTCACGTGTTCCTCATATACCAACCTGATAACTAATCGCAAATAGAAAATATTCCAAAAAAAAAAAAGTCAGAAAGTTCCAAAAAGCAAAACTTGAATTTTCTTACGTTTTAATTAAATATTGTGTTTTAGTCTATGTATTTCTCATAGTACTACTAATATACTGTACATAGTATACGTATATACAAAGTATAAATAGTATAATACTGTACAGTACTGTACATGTCAGGAATGACATGTACAGTACTCTATAGTTAGACGTATGGTGATTGCCTCCTTACTAAACATGTCTTGTCACTACAGTATTTCTCTAACAATTATTTACATATTATTTACATCGTATCAGGTGTTATAAATAATCTAAAGACGATTTAAAGTATATGGAAAGTTGTGCATAGGTTATATGTAAATATTACATTTGTTTGTATAAGGGACTTGAGCATTCGGAGATTCTGGTATCCACGGGAAGTCCTGGATCCACGGGGAGTCCTGTGGAATCAATCGTCCATGGATATCGAGGAATACAGGCATTCTTTTAAATATATCTGGATTATAATTAAACGCAGTTTATCTGGATAAATTGCATTTAATTTAGATTTTATAATTAATTTTTAGTCTCGTTTCAGTATATCTAATTTAGTGGACTATTTCAATCTCGAGAATATTTTACTTAAACATTTACAATCTAGTGAAATTGTTTTTCCCCTATAATAATTAATCGGGAACAGTATTTAAACTCTAATAAATAAAGTATAAGGACAAAAACATATTATTATTATTTGCATGAAGTATTTTATAAAACAAAACACGTACGATAGACTGCAATCCGCGTCAACTATACAAATTAAAATTTCAATGTCAGATTTATAGGGGACAGTCGC